TCTATTCTATTCTATCTATCTATTCTATTCTACTCTATTTTATTTTATTTTATTTTATTTTATTTTATTTTATTTTATTTTATTTTATTTTATTTTATTTTATTTTATTTTATTTTATTCTATTCTATTCTATTCTATTCTATTCTATTCTATTCTATTCTATTCTATTCTATTCTATTCTATTCTATTCTATTCTATTGGCCAGTTTGTAGAGATTTACAAACAAGTAATTATCATAGTTAAAGGTTTTTGTGATGATAAGTACTAGTTAGGATTGTGAGCAAGGTATATTGTGTTTGCTATGTTTGAATGAACTGCATATATTGTGTTGTGTGCACAATGTAGTGAATACCAAACCAAAAAACAAAACAGCAATTTTATAACTGTCACTGAATTTGAATGTGCACAACTCTGATGACTGAATGCTGCTATAATTAAGTACCATGTTGTCCACATCAAGTGATCAATTTTCTCTCCTGTAGAGATCCTTTCAGTTTTAGGAAAACCTTGAAAGAGTTACAACCGAGGTACGTGATCCTGTATGATGCTGATATACAACTTGTACGTCAGTTAGAGGTGAGATTCTAAAACCATTGATACTCTTTAAATTAGTATTTCAGTCCGAGAGAGAGTGTGGCATATAAAAAGTCACAATAACAGAAAACTTTTAGTAAGCAGCATGCCCTCTAACAGAATATATTTTGTAGAGAAATTCTAAAAATCATGTTGTTCAGCTTGTTGACGGCTTCTCGCCTTCATGAAAATGCATCTAGATTGTATATGGCTGTGGGAGACTTTTGAAGGCACTTACGAAAATATTGATTTCCTTCATTTTTTTCCAGATCTGAAAATCCTATTTGGGTGTTTTTCATGATTTTTATTCAAAATTACCTCTCTCTACTGCACTGATAGAACAACTGAGCATGCTCAGAATGTATCATTAGCTTAGATTGTAATGCTAGGGTTTTTAGTGATGTCTTGACCTGGTCATGATCTTGATCTGAATCAGTGACAGATGGGTTGTACCAGGGCTACATTTTGATGGGAATTATAGTGGTGATACTGAAACAAACCCAGGTCCTGGTAATATACAAAGACCTGAATTAACAAAGAAGTCAAGTTGTTATTAAAGGTTTACCCAGATTTATGAATGCAGTTTCTTGAGCATGTATGAGACATAGTTTGGTTGCACTTGTGTACTCTGAGATTTTGGACCCGGGTCAATGAAGGTTTTCAGTTATCAGATTGAGGGAAATCACTTTATGATGAGTTGTACCCACATAGAGTACATATTAATTCAATTGTTTGCAGATGTTCCATGTATTATTTTAACATGAATATTTTATACGTGTAATTAAATAACAGGGACTGTGACATTCATGTCTTCATGTTGTTTACTAAATTTGTTTTCACCTAAAAATTCTTCAACCACATTAAGATGTTTTTCAAGTTTGTTTTATCAATGTATGATGCACCAGGAAAAGAGCATAATTATTTTGTATCACAAACAAATACATGTATATGTGCATCAATTACACAGCATATTGACTTACAGGGCACAGTATGTAGTGAGTATTTGGATCTTGAAAAGTAGAATAAATTAAAAATAAAAATGAATCTCAGTATACATTTGATCTATTGTTTACAGGTGTACAAGGCTTGCAGGCCAGGTGAACCACTGCGTGTTTATTTCTTGGTTTACTCGGGATCAACTGAAGAACAACAATATCTGACATCCCTCCGGAAAGAATCAAATGCATTTGAACATTTAATAAAAGAAAAAGCTGTGAGTTCATCAATACAATCTAAAATTTCAATTGACAGACACCAGCATCAATCAATCCCAGCCATAAAGCAGATTTATATTTCAAACATTATTTCATTTTTTTTTTCGCTAGACTTTGGTGATTCCCGAGGACATTAATGATATGGCTGATATAAGGTCAGAGGTCAGTTCTACATCAGGTGTAAGTTCTAGAAAAGCTGGTGGCCAAGATAAGGAACCATCAAAACAAAAGGTGAGAGGGGTTACTAGGTATTGGTGAGATTATTGTATGAATTCATTATAGTTAGTATTTACAAATATTATACACTGCCATTTGTAATGGTGTTGTATTTAGTGAGGGGCAATTATTCAATGTATTTAATTTGGTGGTAGTGGACACTACTACGGTACAGTCAAACCTGTGTATAGCAGCCACTCATAAAAATGGTCTTTGTATGAAACATACATG